TTAATGAGTTTTTTGGGTTCATTGAGAACATGGTTGTTGTTCAATAATAAAATTATTCCTCAAAAATACAACTTGCCTAATAATTCTGCACTCCCTGTATCTGGATTTTTGTTAGATTGTTTAAAACCAAATTTTAGCTAACTTAATTTGCTGTTTTTAAAACTTCTTTTCTGAAGGAGAAAACCTCAAACTGCAGGAGATTTCATATATCAAAAGTTAATTTCCATGAATAGAAATGTTATTTACTGTTATCTATTGTTGGTATGACAATGAAGTCAATGTTGTCTTCATTGGGAGGGTATTTATGTTTTCATGTTGTTTATGTCAAATTCTGACATTACCAAAACAGAATTTTATAACTTTATTGTCTAGTTTTAGTGAGCTTCCTGTTTCTAAAAGAGCTCATGCTGCTGTTACAGGGTCACAAGTTGAATTGACAGGTGGAGAAAAGCTCTTTTGAGATGCTGAACAGTTCCTGTGCTGCTGCAGATTCTGCACAGGAGCACGCCACAGTAATTTTGATTAACAACCCATTTACTTCTGTTTATATAAGCTGCTTACATTTCTGTCATTTTGCACACGTGCCATATCTTACTGTTTTTAACTTGCTCAACCATGATTTAAAGGCATAGCTTAAAATGAAAACACGTTTACAATTAAGTTTCGGGACACAGTGTTTTCTGGAATGAGCTCTTAAATATTTTCTCCTTGGCAGGTTTAATATTAGAACCCACGAGTACAGTAATATGGCAACAGGAACAAATGTTCTGCGTCTGGTTAGTGTGATGGATGATCAAGCTCAAATGCCTTTCATCACTGCACAAAAATGAATTGCGGCTGTCTGTACCAAATCAAATCAATAATAAAATGCAGTGATAAAATAGAGCGAGACGAGACAGTAAAACTGATGTTTTGATTTATCACAATGGCTTAGAGTGTCTAAATATTCTGTTATGCACTCATATACTGTACAAAATACCAAATTCCATAGTGATCTGGTTCTGACTTACTCGTAAATATTCATTCAAGTTTAAATGTTTGAGGCTATCTGTCTGAAGGTACAAGACTGTTTAAGTCTGGAAAATCTGTCAAAGCTCATGTGTCCAAGAATTCAGACAAATGTTATTGTGTTAACGTTAAACTAACATGCCATTTCCACCCCCTAGAATAATGTACATGATGGAGGTCTGCTTCTTGATTTCAATATGTTTCAGTATGTAACGGTGTGGTGAGAGGGGAAAACACATTAATGTTCTCTTCCCTTATTTGTCTTGTAAAGAATGTGTTTACAGTGGGTTTACGAGCTGGCTAAGACAATTTCTCCACTTGTCTGTCAACAGGATTGAAGAGGCAGAGGTGTGCTGGATGGCAGCCACAGCCAGGCCTCATGGCAGGAGGTGCCCATAACACACAGAACTCTAATCACATCCTCTAGGAGCCACAAAGGTGGTACAGTTCACGTGCATACACTGAAAAGGTATTTCTATATATATATGTAAATGCAAACAAGTCTCGAAACAGATCAGTTTTTTTCATGTGTTTGTCTTGTTTTGTTGTAGATGTCTGTTGTAGATAATACATATGTAACGCTAGCAACACTGTGCTTATTCAGCATGGCTGTGTTCACACTGCATCCTCAGTGTTTGTTTGTTTTTTGTTTTTTTCACATTATCCATTCAGTGCTGCTAATATCAGATTCCAGTGTAAACTGGTCACTGTCCTGAACTGACCTGCATGTGCCGAAAAACAATAACAAAGGCATCACTCACATTTGCTCTTGCACAGAAGTAAATATGGAGACCAGTAAAGCCAGTGTTTACATTTTCATTTAAACGTTGATGTGCAGAAAAAGCTGGAAAATATGTAGCCAGATGTCAAAGAGAGATTATGGTTTTTAGATTATTTTAATTACGGTTTGTGTGGTAGCAACAGCTGCTACTTCTAGACCTGTAGGTTTATAGTGCTGTCAAAAGTTTTTGTCCCATTTCTGTTTTTTTATTTTATTTATATTTTTGCGTGCATATGTGCCACACGTACATATTATAATATTAAACACATTTTAATATTAGACAATAACCAAAGTATAAAAAATAGAAGATATGAATGGGGTTAAATACGAAATCATCTGGAGGTATTAGATTAGGCATTTTACAATACTGGTGCACCGGTGGCGGTTTCTTTGTTTGTTTCACTCAGCTCTGAAATTTCTTTTTTAAGCTCATCAGCACTTATTTTCCTGTGTTATTCCCCCACTTCCAAAAATCTGAAACATTACAAAAAATTGACTCTGCTCAATTTCAATGTGCCAATAAGCCATGTCACACATTGGGTACATTTGAGCCATTAATGTGTTTACGAATGTCAAATTAGCCCTGACATGTCTGTATAATTTTGAATTTAAAAGAGAACATAGACACCGCATTGTTGCTGGTCTTTCACTTTTCTTGTTACTATAAGCAATGCTGCTCCTGGGAAGATATTGTTCTCATCTTAAGCTTTTTCCTTGTTAATTTAGTCTGTGTGATGTTTGCTATGCTATGCTATAAAGTGATCTTCCTCTGTCCCCTAAAGTAATCTAAATTGGCACTTAAAGGCAGAAAAGAAAAAAAAAAAAGAGGTGTGGCATATCTTCACTGCCTTTGTCTGTTTATTTCCAACAATGATGCAGTAATGATTTTGTCATGTCAAAATGTTGCACCAGGTATCAATAACTTGAACTAGACAGACCTTAAAAACCTATAATATTTTAGTTCTAGCTCACATTATGTATTGTTGCACAGGCTATAGTTTTTCTTTTGATTTGTTTTAACAACAATTTTAATCCACAAGTGCTCACCCTGCTACCTGAGGCAAACACAGCATATAATAAGCCTGCCCAACAGAGCCTGCTATTGTAGCTATCACAGGTGTTGACATGCCTGTAATTCCTGTTGTATTAAATGAAGGACACAGCCTGTCAACTTAAAAAAGCCATTAAGCACAGATGTTCTGTTCTGTGTTTTGTGGTGAGTCATGACACGATGAAAAGAAAATGACATCAAACACGTCACAATAATGTCAATTATATATTTCCCTATGTGTCACGCCTACTCTGATGGGTAATTTTGGTTTTTTGGGTATGTTATTCTTTAATTTTCCACCATTTAATTCAGCACTGTTTCTGTCTAGTTTTCCTTTTTTTAATAAACAGTACTGTGTACATTTTTTTGGACAATTTAGATCAGGGGTGGGCAATTCCAGGCCTCGAGGGCCAGTGTCCTGCAGGTTTTAAATGTGTCCTTGATGCAACACAGCTGATTTAAATGACTAAATTACCTCTTCAACATGTCCTAAAGGCCTGGTAACGAACTAATCATTTGATTCAGGTGAGTTGACCCAGGGTGATATGTAAAACCTGCAGGAGGAGACACAAATCCAGCCTCTGGGAGTCACAAGCTAATGCTAGTCCCAAGTCCACACAAATAGAAATGTCAGGAAGAGCATCCGGCACAAATTCTGTCCCAAATAAACATGTGTATCTATCCACTGTGGTGATCTCTTGGGAATTAAAGAAGCAGACAGTACAAAAAACTAGTCCTTCAACCCAAGTCAAATAACCCGTATCCACGGATTAGTCTTACCGAAAGGGGCAAATAAAGCAAGTATTTTTCACGCCAGTTAAGTTTCATTTCAGCTCACAAACCTTGAAAGAAGAGTATCAGGTTTACAAAAATAAAACCAGGTTGTTGAGTGGTCATACTCTAGAACAGTGTTTCCCACACACATATTTCACATTAGAAAAATCACACGGCACATCACCAAACAAAATGATAATTTAGTAAGGATGGTGCAGGAATTTCCTCTTATTTTCTTAGTCTTAATCACAAGTATCCATAAAGGTTTCCTCTTTCCTCATTGATCACTGGACCTGGTAGCTTGTGACTCCCAGAGGCTGGATTTGAGTCTCCTCCCAGTATACCTTTTTTGCTTTATTCTGACCACTACTCACACTAGCACCTTCATCTTGGAATTTTCTCCAGGACCCAGGTCAGACTGACTACTTTTTCTTTTCAAATATTTACCTTCTGCAACTCCATGCTGAGTTATCTCACTTGCAACATGACTAAGTAATTTTTTATTCGTCTTCTTCGGTTATAAAGGCAGTTGGTAACCCATTAAATTGGAGCAAGAAGTTGTACTGTCCTCTGGTGGAAGAGAATATAATTGTTCTTCCTGTTACTCACACCGGTCGCTTGGTGTACCAGTCAGGTGAAACCAAATAATCTTCCACAGCACACCTGATCATTTCTCACGGCACACCTATGTGCCATAAGAATGGTTGGAAAACACTGCTTTTAGGAGACACTGAATGAGGGTTTGACCAAGGAAATGAACTGCAGTAAACAAACAACAGTCTTCTATATTAAAGTCTGGCATTTTATTGACCCATTCACCCATTCCTGCAACTCAACCTTAACCGTCATTCATTCAGCTCTGTGCACCACATCATCTGACTTTCTTACTTCATAACTGCCGCAGCCACTAAAGAGCACTGCTATCACTTGGAAAAATACAAGAAAATACGAGTTTTGTAGTTGTCTTAAATAGCTTAGAATTAAGAATAAAAACCTCTAAGACCTTCATGGATACTTACTAGGAAATTCCTGGGCTATCCTTACTCACCATTGCTTAATATCCACAATTCACATGTTATCAATTTAAAAAATCTATCACATCCTGTGTGAAATAAAAGAGAGGGAATACAACAGTGTGCGTGACTCATAGCCATAGCCTGCTGCAGTGATCACTGGGACAATAAATGGTGTACACATGAAGTAACTCCAGAGAATGTCTTCAGGCAGCCACAGATTGTTAAGAGAGTTCACTGTCATCTTGTGGATGTAATTGAGTTAGTAATTTTTTTATATTATTGCTAAATTAGATATGAAACATTGTACTGCTTTCTGTTTACATGTATAAATCAGCTCAGGGACTCTGCAGCCTCGGCAGCAGCTGCCTAATCAGGATTTGCAGACTCCACCCTTAGCAATGCCAAACACAGACTTTTAATAAATAGTGCATGTAAAAACTGTTAACGGTAAGTCATCAAACTTAATGTCAGGAAAGATGTTTGGGGTTTCTTCTGCTTTAAACAAGAGCTCCAGCATGCACGTGCATAAAGGGAATCTCACAGTTCAACATGTTGAGGATTGAATAAGTGCATGTGGAGATTAATACTACATTGTTAAAAAATAAATAAATAAATTCACGTTTCGTTTTCAAACCTCCACCTGTCATGTCTTCAGGAAGCCCATAAACAGTGATATAATACGTATGGTGAGCACAACAATAACTGCTAAAGAACCACTTATTTCCCTCAGGAGTTACTGGATACCAAAAAGAAAACAAAAGAAAGGGAATATCACTTGGAAACATCCTATACATATTAATGTTGATGTTACTTCATGTCTGCTGAAGAAGCTCTATGTTTCATATGTAATGTTTCATATCCGCTGTAACATGTATGTGTTTTCCGTTCTTATTGACACCCTCAGGTCGTGTGCCCATGAGGTCGTCCATGCTGGTCCTGTTCCTCTTCTTAAGTGCCCAGGCTGTGGCCGCAACCAGAGGGGACTTGTACACCACCACCACAGCGGCACAGGAAAACACTCCAAGTGACAACCCAGACTCTATCCCGGTTGTTGATCCCAAACTCTTCACCAAGCGCCACTACCTCTCACCCAGAGTGCTTTTTAGCTCTCAGGCCCCTGATGCAGAGCCATCGGGGTCACAGAGTGCTGGCAGAAGGACCCGAAGGCAAGCAGGGCAGCCTCAACACCGCGGGATGTACTCAGTATGTGAGAGTATTAGTGTCTGGGTGGTCAACAAGACCAAAGCCACGGACACCTTAGGCAGAGAGGTGACAGTCCTCCCAGACGTGAAAATCAACAATGTCAACATGAAGCAGTACTTCTTCGAGACGACATGTCATAGCCCTCGATCAGGCAGCTCAGGCTGTTTAGGAATTGATGCGAGACACTGGAACTCCTACTGTACTAATTCACACACTTTTGTGCGAGCGCTGACTTCGTTCCAGAACCTGGTGGCGTGGAGACACATACGCATTAACGTGGCCTGTGTGTGCGTGCTCAGCCGCAAGTCCTGGCGGCAATGAAGACTTACGACACGCGCACACAGATTCACAAACCCAAATGCATTACATACACAGACAAGCAAACAGGCAGGCAGAAGTGACTTTTTTTTCACATAATTTATCACCAAAAACTTCTCAACCTCTGCACAAAGTAAATTATTAGTATATGTCAAAGTATCAAGACTGCATGTATATACACCAGACCTGGGTCAAAGAGTATCTGCAGCTGGTTTTGTGTTTTGGTTGTTTGCTTTGGGGTTTTTTTTTTTAACTGTTTGAAGTACCACGCTACAGGGGGTGTAGCTGTGCCGGTATCTATTTTAGCTGTGGTTTATATCAGACTCAGCTTACGGAAATTCAATACGCAGCTACGTGCTCAGTTTGACAAGTGTGCGTGCTCTGGATTTATCATAACTTTTAAGCATTACACTGAAAAATATTCTAAAATACAGACAGGAAATATTTTTATGTACATATACACATATTGCATACATTCATGGGTTATGTTTGCTATACTAAGTGCACAACTGTTTCCTCTGTGGCTCATTCCAACCATTTCCTCTCTGTTTTCAGCATTGCTGTATCTGATGTTTCAAGCACAAACATGTGCATCTTTTAAATGCCAAAGGCTTGGAATTAATTTGTTGGTGTAAAAATTCTCCAGATTATAAAATTATATTCTATTATACACTTCTTGTGTTTGGTGTATCCAACCAGTAATGTAAAAGTGGCAACGCCATGCTCCAAATGAGCGAATTTATTGAATTTTTGTAGCATCATTTTCCAAGCGTTGCATAGTCCCGAAAAAGTCATCTCATAAGCGCATAAATTTTCCAAAGGAGAAAACAGCGAGAAGGGAGGTCTGATGTGCATACTACCTGACTATACACCTAAATAGTCCACAAAAATAAACTAAACATGGAAACAAACTAATTAAAACATTAGGAAAAAGTAGTAGCTTAGTGTAATAAAACATGGCCTCAATAGCATTTCCCCCCTCTTACTCTATGGAAACTTTTTAGCTCCATACATTTACAAAGGTAAATAGGAGGCATAATAAATATTTATCATCCAGGAGCAACAATCAAATGCCAGGATGCCATAATGACAGGAAATGGAAACAAAGACCAAACCAAACTGCAGACGGGAGGTAAATTTGCTGATGCAGTGCAATTCAAATGGAGAACATTATAGTGTATAAGAAAGCATGAAAGATTAATTCTGGTTCATTGCGTTAAGGCAGAGCATACAGGTACAAGTGGATGATCTTTTGCTTTTATACTTTACTTTCAAATTATCACTTATACCACATCTACAAATACAGACCTAAAATGCAGCAGAACCACAGCTAAATGGCACCTTTACATGATGAATGATGATTATAAGATCTGCTCCAAACATCCATATGTCATTCAGACTCTGAAAATGGTAATTAAGGAAACTGGTTTCAGCTGTCTGACTTTCCTTGATTACTAACTGCTCAACAAAGAATTTAGAAATACCTCTAAAACAATATGCTGTGTGTGTCTGATCATTTGTAGTCTAGTATCGCTTTTGATAAATACAAATATTGCTCATATAATTCTCTTTTATTTTGATGCAGATGAAATTGCTATCTTAGTGCTTAATTAAGGCCTGAACTGAACTTGTATTGCTGCAGTAGTTTATATATAGCTGTTATGAACAGATCTCCCAACCCAAACTCCTCTAATGTAACTGCGCTATGACATTAGTTTGACACTTGAAGATATTAAAAGTAGAAATATGTCCTTTACTTATACGTTGATTTTTTATTATGTTGGACAGCTATTCGGTAATTGCAGAAGGTTTCATTCACTGCTGTTTAGTTAATGCCTGCTGGGTTTAGACTAAATCACAGGAACATTTTAAAGCTGCAGCTTTTACAGACACAGACCTTGGGTTTAAAAGACCATGTGATTTGGTTCCAGAAAGCACAGGCTTAAACCTGCCTTAACCTTAAACTGCAGCTCAGCTTATGACAGAGTAGCAGCCTCTAGGACTTTTGGCACAACAACACAGTCAAGCTTCTTTTCTGCCAGTCATTATACTGTCATGCAGCCCATTTACTGAAGAAGACTAAATCAATCCACAACTTTGCAAATACAATTTGACCCAGGCCTGATAAAACCAAAAGTGTTTTTTTAATAAATGTTGTTGTTGATATTGTTATTTATTAAACATTTACAAACATGCACTGTGTGCTTTCTGTAGTGTTCTGGGAAGCTTGCTGCTTCCTTCAGCAAAAAGGAAAGCCCTGACAGAAGTGAAAAAAAGAGAATTCCCATATGGCTTCGTTTTACCGCCATTCTTTTTTTTTGGCTTTGCTTTGTGTTTTTCTCTTGCTATCATTCTACAGTGCATATGAAACAAAACTGAAAAGACAAACACAGGGCAAAAATGATTGATAATACAATACCTTTCCAGTGATATTTCAGTGCTCTCAGCGAACACAAAATTATTCTCCAGGCAGTATCGATTGGGATTTTTGTAGGCTTGCAGCCTAATTTTGTGTCCCATCGGGTATTTGAGGTGTCTGATATGATTGAGCGAACATGGAACTAATGTAGAAATGCAAACAAAAATCAGATGAGGTTGTATTCCTGGAAACCTTGAGTTTTAAGATAAAGCAACAGGGCTCAGCTGCTAAAAAGAATGCAACACTTCCCCCTAGAGGTCAAGACGGAAACATGAAAAATTTCCTAAAAATAATACTTTCACAAATAAAAACGTGACTCCTAACATGTTGGATTTGACAGATATTAGACTCCGCTCAGGCAATAAATTGTAGCTAGTTCCCCACGTTTCATACACTACCTCCACAAACTAAAAGCAGCACTGATGCTCACTTAAATGAACAAAATAGGACAAATATTAATTTGGTTTTGTTATAGATCGTTTTTCCATGGTTTCTAAGTAAATAGGTTTTTTTTTGGTTTTTATAATCGCGTTATAAAAAGCCTTACGTTACCACATGCCAGACGTCAGTGTGCATGTCCATGCGCATGCCTCGTGTTTAGTTCAGGGCCCATGCGAAGCCCTCGGAAAAAGTAGCGCTTCTTTGTTTTGAACATGTTTACTTCATTTTATTGAGCAACGCGAAATTGACGGGAGTCCCCAAGCTGCTGTCCTGTGGCAGGTGGAGAAGAGTCAATATGGCTGAAATGAAATGGAAAAATACTGTGTATGTGTAACTAAAATGTATGAAATAAAAATTAAAAAAAAACATTCAGTAAAAAATTACACCCACATCTTCCAGAAGGTGTAATTTAATTAGATGGTTTGACCTACTGTTACTTAATACATTCATAACGTTTTTTGTCTTAAAATTAGTCCTGAACACAAGAAAATAATGCTGTTGTTATTATTGAGCCTTTTATTTTTGTTATTGGTTATTTCCGGATATCGTTTTTAGGATGGATTAAGTTATGAATGTACTAACAAGGTACCTGAGCTTACATAATTTCATAGATATAATTGTGTAGTATGACGCAGTAATCCTACCTTGCTAAGATACTGAAATTTGTTTGAAAGGTCCAGTAAAAGTAAAGGCTGAATAAAATTTAAAATGCATAAATTGTTCATATCAACTAATAGATTTATAATTTAAGATCCATTCAAAGTGAGCATTGTGGCAAGGATAAAGATAACTGCATAAAGACCGAAACAAAGTGACCTCTTTCATAAGTAGTGTCTGCAAACCACAGCTGAGAGACTTGATATTTCGAGCTCTGTCCACTGGATGGAGACAATGAAACGCATAGACGTTTTTCTGTTGCGTACAGGTTTTCTCTTACTCTAGTGGTGCACATTAGGGGTATGGAAATGTACTTAAATATTTTGAGTGACATTGTTTATATGCATTGCAAAGGAACTAAAGATAACTGTATTTTGCTATTTTCGTCAGTTATTTGTTCTAACTAAAGTTGTCTTTTGAAACAGTAATTGGCCATTTTTCTAATTAGAGGTTTAGCACGGCCTGTTCAAAGAAAAAATATAAAGTGAGATTTGACTGCACTTCACCTCTGGTGTCTCTTGGCTCATAGGATGACTCATACTTGCACCGTATGGAGATCAGGTTACATTTTTGCACCTCATTTACATATCAAGAACAGTAGAAGAGGGTGAGGAGGTAAGGACAGTGTGTCGGTGGAGGGATAATGGGATTATGGCTCCATTATACCCTGAGGATATCGTTTCAGTTTGGATGCACTTCCGCAGTGATAATTACAGTCCTGAATTCATGACAGGATTGGGTAACCGAACTGATATCGGGTTAACACCCATCCAGTCCAATGATCTTATTCTGGGTCACATGGAAACTATTAATCATTTGTAATTCAAGTGTGTACAATGCCATCTGTTTATCTCTATAAAAAAAAGGAGAACTGCTGTCATTGTCATACTTTTTTCCTTGTGTTTGTTGAGTCCTGTTTGATTTCTTTTCTTTTTTTTTTTTGAGAGAGAGAGAAAGAAAATAGAGGTGGTAGGCAGTGATGTGATGTGTCTCATGATCCACCCATGCTGATTCTCACTGATACTCTGGCAGACATACAGGGAGGGTCGCTGTTCCCCTCCCACATCACTGCAGCAAACAAAGGCACTACAAACAAGAGAAGCTTGCATGTCACAAAGCGTGTGACCCCGAGATGACCTCCCTCCGTCCTGCAAAGAAGGCACAGAAGAGCACTGGCAAATCTCCATACAGACTTTGTTTTTAGGCAATGTTCATTTAGACTCATTCTATTTAAGGGTGAATGAGACAGCATCAACTAAGGTGTCTTAGTATGTGTCATAAGAAGAGCTTCATTGTGCTTTGGTGTTGATTCTCTAAGCCCCACATCTGGCTGGATTATTCCAAATTATATTCCTTCATTTTAGGTGTGTTGAAGATGTTAGTGGAAAACTCTGTCCAGTGTGCTGCTACAAAATCTCTGCTTTTAACAACAACAACAACAACAACAATTCAACTTTTACTTATAGTAAATGTAACATAGCCTTTTAAATAAAGTTACAGCCTGTGGTTAAATTATAGGGGGACATGGGAGTAGATATTTGTATGTAGGATGTACATCCATATGCACCTTTACTAAGAATAAACAAAATTAAGAGTCTAAGATTGAAGACAGGGACTAAGATTTTACATTTTAGTTGATAAAATATTAAAACTATTTTCTTTCTTAAAATTCTGTCTATAATACACATATAACAATGATGCAGAACTAAAAAAAAATGTTTAATTGTGTTTTTTTGTTGCTTTGTTTTGTCAAAGCCACAGGGAGCCACTAGAGATTAGTAAAAGATATGTATATCACTCCGAAGCTGAAGGTTTTCAATCACTGGTCCAGGCCAAGAGAGCAGTCCTAAAGTCTCACATAATGATCCCGACAGCATAACTACATCCTCTGTAGGGGTCAAGCATTTTAACCCATCTGTATTTTAGTACATTAACTTTATCTCAGGCCAAAAGAAATTTGTCTTTTGTCACACTAATTCTGAGATCATGTACAGACTATATAGCACATTTGAT